GGCTGCGTGGGCGCTGGGAGAGCCATGGAGGTCTGGGGGGAGAGAGGCAGGGGGGGCTGAGTCCGCCCACGCCCAGTTGAGGTGCCCGTGGTGGAAGCCCCTGCTGTTGAGTTCTGAGAGCACGTCTCAGGGCACAGATGGCGCGGCGTGAGCCTCACTCGGGGGCGTGCCGTCCGGGCCACGGATCTGAGTCTCTGCTGTCATCTCGCAGCAACAGAACTTCAAGCAGAAAGTCGTGGCGCTGCTGCGCCGGTTCAAGGTGTCCGAGGAGGTGAGCGGGCCCCCTCCGCCCGTCGCCCTGCCCGGTCTCCCCACTGGTCACCCCTCCGCGCTTTGTCTGCGGGGCGGGTGGGCTGGGGACCCCTCAGGCTGCAGCCGAGGCCCAAGGAGACCAACCCCCTGCTCTGTTTCTTGAATTTTAACTCAAGGACCAGACCTAGGGGCGGGGCTTACGTGTCTGAGCCCCGGTCCGTGTGGCCGGCACAGGGCCCAGGCCCAGCGTAGGCTCCCCACAGCCCCGCCGGCCATCCTGTCGGTCACACCCCAGCGGCCTCTTCGCAGGAGTCGACCAGCTGTCCTCAGACTCCCCTGGAGATGCAAGGGCCCAGAGTGAACGCAGCTGTGGAGGAAGCAGTCACAGGACTCATGCCCTCCGACCCCGTGACCATCCTCAGGGCTGGGGTGGGGGGCCAGGCGGCGGGGCCGTCAGGGGAGCGCAGGTTGGAGTTCAGGAGCAGGTCCCGTTCGGGGTGCTGATTCCCTAGGGCCATTCGGGGGAACAGCTCTCACAGCTCAAGGACCAGGCAGCTGGACGTCCATGTGCCCCCACGCCTGCCCCCCCCCCGCTGGCCCCCCCACACCCGCACTGAAGCCAATGCAAGGTGGACGGAAGACCTGAGTGTAGGGGCTGGAACGATAAAACTCCTGCTGAGAGCCCGTCGGCCGTGGCCTCTCGGGTGAGACCAGAGAAACAGACGCACCCGCCAGTGGCTCAGCGTCAGCGTCGTCCAGAGGCACCAGGGCTGTGGGTTTGACCCCACGCAGGGCACATACGAGAGCCACCAGCGCGTACGCGGGACACACAAGTGGACGGCAGGTCGATGCTTCTCTCTCTCAAATCAAAAAGAAAGACGTGAACCAGCCCGTGAAATAGAACGTTTTTCAAGTCACGTCCGTGACGCGCACCCAGCACCCAGCAGGGCGACTCGGAAAGACGCTGCCACGAGGCCACCTGCCCGAGGAGCCGTTTGGCAACGGGCTGACCCACATCTTCTTCAGAGAAAGTGCACACGGACCCAGGGCCCGTGGAGAGGTGCCTGGCGTCCTGGCCTCAGAACGCAGACCCAGCCACGGAGACGCCGGGTGGCCCAGCACGTGGAAGGCGGGGACACAGGACGTGGGGGTGCGGCGCCCGCCCAGCCTGGGGTTTGCCTATGAGGGTGACGTGCACACGAAGACCGGCCCCCGTCCCGCAGCTGCATGTAGAGATGCTGGAACGCCCCACGCCGTCGCCAGGATGGGTTAACGGGTTCTCCGTGCCACGGCACAGC